AAGATCCTGGAGTGGCTTGCCAGTTCCTGCTCCAGGTGGATAGTGTTTAGTCAGAACTCTCCACTATGACCTGTCTGTCTTGGGTATCCCTGCAGGACATAGCCTATAGCTTCTCTGAATTTACTCTAGCCCCTTCACCACAACAAGGCAGCAATCTGTGAAGGGGTCTTTTTCCCTACCTCCTCTTCATTCTGCAAATAACGCCACTGGCACTTCACCAAAAAGAATACGATATACATAGAATGTGTGTTTCCTAATTGAAAGTAATAGTGCATGTGTATATATGCATAATTATGGCAATTTATTATTTTAAAATTTAATAGCAGTATTCATCTGCAGCTTTAGCTATCTGCACAGATTTCTTCCTTTCCCTGTTGCTTTAGATAGAGTTTCATTGAACAAACCGCTTGTAATAATTACATGCCATCAAGTCATCCTTTCCAGGGGTTCCGTTGCATTCTAGGCATAGAGTACTCAAAAGTGGTTCACCATGTCCTTCTTCTGGGGAAGCTCGGAGACCATGCAGCTGGCCCAGGGCTACATAAGCTGGCTTTTTTTCTGGGATACACAGTGGAGAATGAACTCCCCAAATTCTGACTATACAGATAGATACTTAACTCACTTATATATATTTGTATAAATGAATTTTCAAAGGTGACTTACAGTCCATCTTTAAGGTATTTCTGGTTTCTATTGATGCCATCAAGGGCTTTCATGTCTTCCTCGGAGAGAGAGAAATCAAATACCTGACAGAAGAAAAAGCTGAGTTGTAACTGTGTTCTTTGGTAGCACAGATATATGTTTGCCTTAAGAACAGCATAGATGAAGAACTGAGTTCCAAACATGAGAGGAATGTGACCCTGAGAGACCCACAGAGCTGCTGCCAGTCAGAACAAGCACCACTGATACTAGAGGGCTATTGGTCAGGTCCAACGTTATTAAATAAATAAGTACCATCAAATCAATTACAACTTATTGTAACTGTCCTCAGGGTTTTCTATAGGTTTAAGGTACTAAGAAGCAGCTGATCAATCCCTCCTCCTGAGGGCCCTCGGGGGTTCTGTATCTTGCCCAAGGCTACACAGGCAGGCTCTTCTCTCAGGAGGCACTGTAGGGAGTCAAACGCCCACCCTCTAGCGCTTCAGCCAGGGACATGGCTCGCTCAGCTACCCAGCCAGCACAGGGAGTCTCTGTTCGTCCTCTGAGGCAACCTGTCTCTCCTTATGCAAAGTGAAACTGCACTAAAATTTCCTCAGCCTTATGACCCTTTAGCTGTACTGGACTAAAACTCCCATCACTTGTTTATTTATTTATTTATTTACAATATTTTTTAGCCGCACCATTGCCAGTGGCTTCTGGGCGGCGTACAACATTAAAACTTAAAAACATTAAAAACATTTTAAAAGACAATATAAAATAGCATATATTAAATAATTCTTAAAACATTAAAATTAATAAGTCCTGCTGCTTATATGGCCAGCTAGGGAATATTGTTTAATTAAAATGCTGGCTGAACAGAAAGCTCTTTGCCTGGCGCCGAAAAGCCAAGAGTGTTGGAGCCAGGCGGATCTCTCTAGGGAGGGCATTCCAAAGTTGGGGGGCAACAACCGAGAAGGCCCTATTTCGGCATGCCATCCCCCTCACCTCTTTCAGGGATGGCACCTTCAGAAGGGCCTCCTGGCCTGATCTTAGAGGATGGGCAGGCTCATATGGAAGAAGGCGGTCCTTTAGGTAACCAGGTCCTAAGCCGTTTAGGGCTTTATATGTCAAAGTAAGCACTTTGAATTGGGCCCGAGCAGCAACCGGCAGCCAGTGTAAATTTTTCAGAACCGGCGTGATATGAGTCCGTGTGGCGGCACCACTTACCAGCCGCGCAGCCCGGTTCTGTGCCAGTTGCAGTCGTCGGACCATCTTCAAAGGCTGCCCCACATATAGCGCATTGCAGTAGTCCAGTCTGGTTGTTACCAGTGCATGAGTGACTGCTGCCAGGCTCTGCTCATCCAGGTAAGGGCAAAGTTGATATATTCTCTACAGCTGTAAGAAGGCACCCCTGGACACCGAGTCCACCTGGGCTTCCAAGGTCAGACTGGGGTCAAGGAGCACCCCCAAGCTGCGGACCCTGTCCTTTAGGGGGAGAGTAATCCCATCTAAGGTAGGGAAATGGCCCTTTAACCTATCTGGCGGGGCACCTACCAGCAGCACTTCAGACTTGTCTGGATTGAGCCTCAGTTTATTGACCCAGTTTTTTGAAGGAGTTGCAGACCTACGCAGCAGGATAGGATCCAAATGGGGAAAGTTGGTTTAAACATTTAAACATCAGGCAGAAGAAAAAGATGATAAATCAAAAACACAGAATGCTGGACTGTACCATTTTAGAAAGCTGAGGGAACAGTAACGGTAATATTTCATACATGGATGCCAGGCCTTCCCCCTCTAATCCTAAATTTAATATACATGGACAGACATACTGAGCTGTAGTCATGTGTGCTATGCCTGGGCATTGTATTCCTCCAGATATGTACTCTTACTTCCAAATGCTCCTCTATCAAAACCAAGAAAAAATAACTCTGCATGTATTAGTAGCTCAGAAAAAAATATTTATCTGAGCTCCAGAGGTTTCTGCATGAGACAGAGTGTCTACATCCCTTTCAATCTGGCTTCAGGCCTGGTTATGGGACAGAGACGGCTCTGGTCACCTTGGTGGATGACCCTATGCTGGGAACTGTGTCCCCGTTGGTTTTGCTGGTTGTCTCAGTGGCTTTGGATGCAATCGACCATAGTCTCTTCCTGACTCCTCCCTCTCTGAATGGCATTTTGGTCCACTGTGGTGCTGAGGAATTCTTGTTTGACAGCTGGTCTGCTGGTCTGTGAGGAAGGTCCCTCGGGATTCTGTTTGTTATTTAACATCATCAAGAAACTCCTGGGAGAGATTATCTGAAGTTTTGGAACTGAGTGTCACCAGTAGGCAGAAGACACTCAACTCTACTTCTCCTTGCCACCTAAATCCGAGGAAGCTGTTTTGGCTCTAAATCAGGGTCTGGACCAGTCATGGACTGGATGAGGGTGAATAAATTGAAACTGAATCCAGATAAGACCGAGGTGCTTCTCATCAGTCAAAAGGCAGATCAAGGAATCGGGATGCAGCCAGTGCTGGATAGGATTACACTCCCACTTAAAAAACAGGGGTGCCGCTTGGGGGAGCTCCTGGATTCATCCCTGAGGCTGGATGCCTAGATCCCAGCAGTAGCCAGGAGAGCATTTGCACAATTAAAACTAGTGTGCCAGCTACGTCCGTTTCTTGAGAGATCTCATCCGGCCACTGTCATCGACACCCTATTTACTCCCTGGCTGGGTTACTGTAACATGCTCTATGTGGGGCTGCCAATGGAAGTGTCAGGAAACTTCAGCGGGTCCAAAATGCAGCAGCCAGATTGCTGACTGGGGCTGGTCACAGGGATCATATAACCCGCCCTTCACTGGCTGCTGATCAGTTTCTGGGCACAATTCAAAGTGCTGGTTTTAATCTATAAAGCCCTAAATGGCCTGGGTCAAAGTTATCTCAAAGACTGTATCTCCCATTAGGAGCCAGCTCAGGTGTTAAGATCACCAAGAGAGAGGCCTTTCTCTTGGTCCGGCCACCTTCAATGCTGTGTCTGGAGGGGACCTGGGAGAGCGCCTTCTCTGTTGCTGCTCCCAGACTTTGGAACTCCCTCCCACAGGAGGCTAGGCTGGCCTTATCTTTGCTGTCCTTCCACAAGCAAATAAAGACCTTTATTTTCAGTAACTAACTACCTGTGTGTGATTTTTAGATGGATTGGTAAGCTTAACTGCTTTGACTGTATTTTTAGTACTACTTGTGTTTTCCATTTTTGGGTTTTCCCTTTCTCAGAGTGGCATTTGTTCCCCCCCCCCAATATTTATATTCTTATTGTTCTTAGCTTTAATATTACCCTTTAATGATGTAAGAAGCCTCTTTATACTCATTGTTCTTAGCTTTGTCTTTTAATGATGTTAACCACCCTTGTATACTCATTTTTTGGTCAACTTTAAATATTGTATTTCCATGTTGTAAGCCACCTTGGGGTCCTTTTCAAGGCGAAAGGCGGAGTGAAAATATTTTCAATAAATAAAAAAACACTGCAAATCTCTCCTTGTTTTGTTGGTGTGCTGCTTCCATGGACAGCTTAAGTCAGGAGGCAGTAATTATTTTAAAAATCTTCCCGTAATTTGCAATGGTATCATTTAGAAGACTGCCTGAAAGGAAACACAGATCTGTACCAGCTATTGCGAAATAGAAGGGCAGCAATACAAACATCTCCTCAGTGGCAAATATATCTCTTGACTGCTTTACCTGGATTTGTTCCTCAATGCGATGTTTGTTGAAAGATTTCACAATGACCACCACACCACGTTGCAACTGATGGCGTAGGGCCACCTGAGCTGGGGTTCGGTGGTATTTCTTGGCAATGGCGTTCAAGACTGGGTCTTCAAGCAGAACAGGTATGTTCTGATCTATCCTGTTAGGGAGTCACATAAGAAAGAGAGAGGAAACTTCATCAAAAGGAGCAGGGTTCACTCCCATAACGTGCATCACTCTGCAAGACATCCATCATTTCACCAACAATGCTCCAAAGGACCAATACAGCAGATCAAACAAGCCAAAAGCAAGATAAAACAGTGTAAATAGAAATGCTAAAAGCTCTGCACCCCTATTCTTTTTCATGCTGAAAGATTGGATCGACTCATGATTAGCACTAATGTTGTGCAGTCGACAGAACAAAACACTGAAAGGAATAATGAGCAAATAAGGTGCAAATACCTGTCTGGTCACTCCCTTAATAGGGTGATCAAGGTATGTGAGAGATTAGAGGAGTGTTCTCCCAGTGCCAACCCTCAGTGAGTTTCCATGGAGAAGTAGAGATTTGAAACCACGTCTCCGGAGTCCTAGTCAACCTTGTACCTGTTACACCACTTTGGCTCTCAGTTCTATACATGAACAGTGAATTTATTGTTTGTGTATGAAAAAAATGTTAAACAGTAAGTTTTAATGACAACTGGGCATGCCCTGCGGCCACAGAAAACAGGCTGATTGTGGGAGAGAGAAAGGAAATGGAGTTTTTTGGTAAAAGGGCTGGTCTTGGGGAATCTCTGATCAAAACCACCTGATAAAATCCTACCTACTGAGGCAGGATATACTCTTAGAATCTTTTCTTCCTTTCCTTATTGAATACCACTCCCCGTTCTTATTGATTGCTACAATCCAGATTTTAACTTGAAGGAGTTTACAATACAATTAAAATGCTGCTGATAACCCCAATCAATTGCCATTAAACCAACCAACCAACACCAGTCTTTATAAAAATGGTGAATTCAGTAAGAGAGAGCAGAATTCCTGCAATGGAGAAGGGCAGAGGCCGAAGGAGGTGGGCATTCCCCAATTTTCTCTCTCTGTCTCTGTCACTCTGTTTCACTCACTCACTCACTCACGCTCTCTCTTACCATGCAGGATCCCTCTGAGATCCCAAGACACTATATGCTTCCAGGAGGATCCCATGGGATTTGCAGAAGGCCAGCAGCTTGTTTCGGCTCCAATAAGCATGGCATTCAACCTATAGAGAGACAAAGCCCCAACATGATCCAAAAAGGAAACTTCAGAAGGGAAAGGCAAGAATGCAGTAAGCCAGAAGGGAGACTGGGAAGGACACATTTCTGCTTGTTTAGATACCTTGCAGTGTTCATCCGCTAAAACATGGGCTTGTCTTTTCATATGCACTGTGTTTTCCAGGCCATTAAAATAATAATTTTGGTGTGCTTGCGGTTTCCAGCATCACATACTCTGGAGTGAATTCCCTGACTCTCAAATTTAAATCTCACAGAGTCAAAATATGATGATGACATAATTTGTAGAAGGGGGAACCAACTTTTTACCTTAAGAAACAAAAGACATTTTTGAAATGCTAGCACAAGATCTCCTGAGCTCCATTAATTGTTTTTGCTTTCTGACTTATTAGAGAGAGGTAAACGTAGATGCCATTTGCAACTCTGATTGCTGAGGCATGAGAGCCTTGAAGGAATTTGTCTGGAAGGATGATGGCTCATCACTATGAAATAATGAAACTGGTGTCCTCTACAGTTTTTGTCTCAGTGTTTTCAATTAATAATCATCAATTATTAATCATTATTTAATTATTAATTCAATTATTAATCATTATTTTTAACCTCTTACATTCTCTGACTCTATCTCTGACCCTAATATGGTAAATAAGCCAAATAGCATTGCATACACCTGGGAGGAGGAAAGTTTTAAGGGTCGGATCATACTTCCGCACTATTAGAGAGCAGGCCGGGTAGGTGGGGCTTGTCAAGCCATGGAAGGCAGCCCATTTAGGAGAAGGAAAACTCCAATTTCAAACCTCCACTGCCTTGCGGCTATATCCACTCATGGAAAAGGCTTCGGGAGTTAACCTAGAGGCAAAATCCGGAGCTGGAGTCTGGAAGGCAGTTCGTGTCGTTCTGCCGACTCCTGCGATGTTGCTGGAACCAATTGTATTGATTCTTGCCTTTCCATTGGACCATTTCAGCAACGTGGAGAGGGGGGGATTTGCTGCTTGGGTAACAGCCTATCCTCTATACTACTTTACCCAGGCTTCATGCTTTGGAGAGGACACTCCTCGATTCAGAGCATGTTACCATACTCTCTCGAGACTGAAGGATGCCTATGATGATAATCTGGTGATTTATTAACAGAGAATAACCATCAATCCTGGAAGCAATGTGTGAAGAATGCTTAAAGTGCTACTTAACTGCACAAAGATTTTAGACAGATTTTTAAAATGTGAGTAGCCATAAAGCTATTCGTTATCATAATAGCAGTTTTTTTCAAAAAGGGACTAATTTAAAACTTTGTTTCCTGTCCTCTCAGATGCTGGGGTCCCCGAGGATTCCTTTTGACCTGGGCAAGGTTTTCAAGTATGAAGAAAGGGTAGGTAACAGGCCTTGATACCAATTCACACATGCATAAATGGTAATTTCATTTCACCTGGTTCAAAACAGGCTTGTATTTCAGCCCTGGCTTGTTCAGGATCATCTCCAGCTGCTTAATGGTGAAATTAGACACTCCAATAGACTTCACCAAGCCTGCGTCTTTGCACGCCTCCATCGCCTGGGAAAGAAAACAGGGCAGATTTGGTAACTTTTATCAATCTCTTAGTTGCTGCTGAGCCTAAATCTGGAAGACGGTGCTTGTTTCTCTTTAAAGCTCCAGCCAGATTAGAAAACAAAGTTAGCTGTAAGTATCTAGTTTTGGGCTGTGTTATATCACTATTGTTGTTTTTGGGGTTTATGTGTGCGCACATGTGCATCACAATCCATGAGCTTTGTCATACAAGCCCTGGTAATAGTGGCACAAGACCTGGAGGGGAAAATCCTCCCAGAGGACTAGAGGTAACCTTTCCAAAAGCTATAGCAACAGCAAGGGCTTGGAACCGAGGATGTCCTATGGGTTATAGATGAAGCCATACAGGATGCAAGCCTTAGTGCCAATGGCAGCATTCATTTCAGCTGCTGAAAGGGGAAAATATACTAAGATATTCACAGGACACTTGTTTTAAGGTACTGTGAATCATTATGTGTATCACGGAAAAAAGTACTAACTTTTCATTTGAAGAGGAATGTCCACTGTGAACCTACTCACAGATATTCCTTGTTCCTTTGGAGTTCCATTTATTAGGAGCAAGAGAAGAAGAAATCTGTGAGACCTGTGGGAAAAGCTCCCTGCAAATGGATGTTACATGATGACAACATCCATACTTGGTCGAGTTATCTATCTTATGCCTTTGAACAAAGCTTATTGAAAAGTCCTGATTTTGTAAGGGCTGTCACCTACCTCCCATGTTTTACGAAGATCTACAACATCAGTAATGAATTTTCCATTTTCTCCCTTGGGCAATAATTCTGGTCCAGGCTGTAAATAAAAATACAAATATATGCAGTTAGGCTTTAGAAGGGAGCAGAGAAATCTGTGCTTTTAGAGGTCATGAGGAAGACAACTAACATTGCAGGAAATCTAAAAACTATAAACAAAACCAGACTTTATGAACAGCTCTTCAGTAGAGCTGAAAGCATATTAATGTTGCAGAGAAAGGAAGAAGGACTAAACAAAGCAAGCTAGTTTGCATAATCTCACAAGTGACAGCAGCTTGTGCAGGGACACTCAGATGCTTTTATAAGCTAAGAATTTCTCACTTCATATAATAAGCTATTTCAGCTGTCCCCAACTTTTTTGGACCGCGGACTGGTTGGGGAGGGGGCTCTGTGTGTGGGGTGCAGGGGCAAGAGAGACTTGCCCCTGCGTAAGTGCGACATGCCCCTGCACGAGTGCAAACATGCTCCTGAGTGTGCATGACATGCCCCCTGTGAGCGTGACACGCCGCCTGCGCAAGCGTGACAAGCCCACCGTGCATGGGGATAGGGGGCGGAGATCCGTCTCTGCAACCCAGTTCTGACAAGCCCATGGGCTGGCACCGGGCTGCAGACTGGGGGGTGGGAACCCCTGGGCTATCTCAAACTTCTTTTTCTGGCCTCCCACGGATCACATTTTCTATAATTCATTGGCAAATTCTGTGTCCACTCTCCATTTTTACATACCAACCTGTCTGTCCTGGCCCCCTGAAATATTCCACTCCCCAACATGTGGAGGTTGCTACAGCCTAGCAACCTCCACATGTTGAAGACTACAAATCCCATCATTGGTAATGCTATGTTGAATGGATGAGAGATGAAAGAAAAAGGAAATGTAGGGGACATCAGACTGGAAAAGTTGCATTATGTTATAGTATTTTTTCATTCAGTCCTACCATAAATATCAAAATCATGCTTATTTATGCAGCTACAGAAGAGCACATCAGTGCTTGCACACCTAAATACACAAGTGAGAGCTGAGAGGAGAGGAAAAACCGCAATGCAATTGTTTTATGTGCACAGATTCTTGTCAGTTGGATTTTTCCACAATGCATTTAAAGGTATTGAGGAATATTCACCTTCAGAGAATAAGGGTTGTGTATTATGAACAGATCGATGTAGTCAAACTGGAGCTTCTTCAGCGATTCTTCTAAGCACTTCCGAACTAACTCAGGCCGGTGGAAGGTATTCCAAAGCTGTCAAAAATGTACAGATGTTTAATCTTTGATAACAACCACAGAACAGCAAGACTGTAGCAGGCAGAGATCTTAGCCAAGCCACAATTTGCTTCTTATCGCTAGGCTCTCACATCTCACCGGGTATGTGTTGGGATAATTTCAGTCTTTCACCCTTTAGCACTGGGTATCTTAGGGTGGGAAGCGAGGAAGCATTGCAGCCTGATGTGATTGTCCTTTGCGAGTAACTCAATTGGTAAAGTTTCTTTCCAGCATCTACCATTTGAGACAAGCCACCACTATCTCTTCCTGATTGTTTCTGATTCCATTGATTTGTTGTTGGCACTCTCTTCTGGCCACCCTCTAAGCATTAAGCATGTAGCACCTCCTGGATGCTGGAGACTCCATTTCCCACCTTGTTTCCCCTGACCATAACTACAGATGGTTAATGTAAGTAAAGATACCTTTTCTGTAGAGTGATTTTATCACAGAAAGGGCTAATTTGTCTCCAAATCAGAGAGGGTGATGCTTTATGAGACTGGGCTAATTGTCCGGGCCTGTCTTGTGTTCAGGGCTATCAGGAAAGGTGAGAGGGGCTTATGGGATTTTACACATCATATGCCAGGGCTATTTTCTAGGTTCTCTGAGTTAAGTGAATGGATTATGCATGTTACATGCTGCTCTGCTTTAGGCAGAAACATGTTTTGCTGCAGTCCAGTTTACACATCCATCATTATCAAGGTTAACCTCACCATGGTCCTTTTTTGACTTTTTTCGGCTTTGCGAGAAAAAGCTATCTAGGAGGTGAAAGGCAGGTGAAGAAAGTCTAACTGAACTTGCTTGTTCACCAAATCCAACTAGCATCCTTTGAAATAAGAGAAAATTTCTAGCTGTGAAATATTTGTTATATTTTTGTTGATGAAAACAAAAAGGACATTTAAAAGAGGTTACCTTTCCAGTGTAAAAAACGTCTTCCCTTTTTATTGTCCCATCAGCAATCTTCTGACGAACAGCGTGTCCAACCTGCTCTTCGGTGTCGTAGATATATGCACCATCAATGTGACGGAAGCCAACTTCTATTGCTGTCTTGACAGCTTCCTCGCACTTGCTTTTTTGGCTCTGCCAGTTTAAAAGGTTAAGAATTAGATCTTTTAACTGTATTATTATTATTAAAAGAAGAGGTTATATTACTTATTGCTTTGTAATTGCGGCAGCCAGTATTGTTATTTCTCAGATATAGCTCAAGGGAGGCCGTGCAAGAATGGTGTGTGTCTGTGTGCTTCCAAACTTGTATATATTGTGGGTCACTTCAGTTAATTAGTTATCTGGCTATAGAGCTAAAGGTTAGGGAGTTTAGTTCCCCACTGTGTATCACAGAAGAAACACCCTATGTAGCCTTGGCCATGTGGAATTTTTTGAACTAGATGTGTAGAGGTAGGGAAACAGATAAATTGTAGTAATAATAATAATAATAATAATAATAATAATAATAATAATAATAATAACCATCAAACTATGCTCAGCTTCACCGTTAGAGACCCATTAGGACAATCCATCATCCTCTATCCCTTTTCTATCCTTCCTTGACTTTTATTTTTTTTAAATGTTTGTTCTTCTTTCTCCCTCCCAGTGTTCCCTAGTATTCAAACAAGTTTAGAAGGGGTCATCCCATAACTTCAGAAGAACATTTTAGGATATACAGCATGTGTTTGTCTCATCTCTTGTAATTTGCATGTGGCTTTGTTTTGTGACTGGTCTTCTGGGTTCAACCATAGAACCCATTTTATGCCCAGCTTCTCAAAAGCAAAAGCCTGCCTCTTTTCCCTCCTCTCTCAGGCCAATGCACTTTCAGCTCCAATGACGGAGAACAATAATGATATTTAATTGCCTGTGGAGGCAGAGGAAAGATGCCAGCTTCCCATTTACCTCAGGCAGCAAAATTTGTGAGGAAGCCCCCCTTGCAGGCATATACATAATAGTTACCCTAAGGGCAGGATTTTGGGGCAGACCTCTGGGGTTTGGTTCAGCAGAAGGTGTTGGATAGACCCCCAAAACAGCACAATTGCCTTATTGTGTCTCAAGGTAAGCAAAGAAATGCATTAATGTCTAAAAAAGGGGGGCCTTCAGACTATTAAATCCAGAGTCTGGAAGTATCTATATTGATGTACATGAGGACTAGGCACTTAGCTAGTCAAAAGGAGAATTTATTTTTCGCTCCATAAGACGCACCAATTTTTTAGGAGAAGAAAACAGGAAAATATAATCTGTTTTCTTCGCTCCATAAGACGCACAGACTTTCCACCCCCCCTGTTTTGTGGGAAAAAAGTGTGTCTTATGGTGCGAAAAATACGATACTACACAAATACTGAAAGTCAGTCCATTCTACTTACGGGGTCTGCGCAATAGGTGCCGAATCCAAGGACAGGGATTTTGTTGCCATCATTCATGGTCAGCCTGTGATCTTTTGCAAGCGCCATCTCTGGAAAAGCCCTCTTAATTCAAGCTTTGATCAAATGGAAAAGAGTAAAATTGTTCTATTCTGGTGCAGCTGCGCTCCCACGAAGTACAGACACTCCAGTGAGGAAAGCAGGAGCAAGTCTCCAATAAATATAAAAGAGGAGTAGAAAGAAAGAGGGGGAGGTTCATGGGGTGTGGAATGAGAAACATGCATTCAAATTGGTCCATGCTTGAATGAATGTTTTCACACCGACATTGGAGGCAGGTTGGCAAACAAGGTATTATCTCTCCCTGACAAAGGCTATCCACACACACCCAGCCAGTTCTCTCTGACCTGCCTGCTTTCCTGCAGGGTACATGTTAATGCTTCCCACTTTGCCTGCCTTTCTCTGCTGGTGTGGGTGGGTGGATGGGTACCGCCCTTCTGCCCCAAACCCTGCCAGTCACCCCTGACTCTGCCTGTAATGGCCTCTGGTCTCACCAACCACAATGGGGACCAGCTATTGCTGGATATTGGCCATTCTGGATCCTCTAGGAGACACCAACGCTGTACTCATTTACCTGGGAGTCAACCTGGTTGAACTCAATGGGACTTGCTCCTGAGTAGATCTGTATAGCATTGCTCTGTTCATGTCTGTCAGAGAAAGGGAAAAGTTCATGTCATTTTTAAATTTTGAATAATATACTGAAAAAGAAGAAACAAACCCACCGCTTGAAACAAACTCAGATCAAGAAACTTTGTGGAATCCAAAGGGTCTTTGTTATAATTTATCAGATGACCAGATGTAAGACATGCTCAGACCTCTTCTTTAGCCTCAGGTGGTGAAATGAAATGGATAATGTAAATCTCCTCTCTGTGTTTCTTTGCAACTTTTAATACTAAATGCTAAATAAGCAGCAATGATTTCCTTTTTTCCCTAGAGCTGTAAGTAAAGACTACATTAATTGCAAACCTCAACCTCGTTGGGACTTTGCAATAAAGAATCAGTTTATATATATATAAAAATCAAGAGTTGCTTTTTTAAAAACGTAAGCAAGAAGTATGGGGTACAGGTCCCAAAATAGAAAAGGTGCACATGGAACATCAGTTGTTGTGGAAGAGGAAAACGAGAACAAAATGCATGGCAGTGCCAGTTAAAGTCAAAGATGCCCGCCCAGATTCCATCCAGCAACCCGCAGAGGGTGTCAGCCTCAAAAAGCTTAAACCCATTCAAGATTAGTTGAACATTAGGGTGGAGCTGAACAAACCTATGTGTTGCTTTTAATAGTATTATCAGCAGTGTAAGCAAGATTTGCAAGCTGCCCACTCATTTAGGTGACCCTGTCATTAGGATACACTGCTACACAGCTGCTACATTGCTAGGTTGGTCATCTTGTACCTCTAATCCCAACAGTCCACAGGGAGGCTTATTGGTCTTCACTA